GCACCGTAGTACGTCCCACATCGCACAATGTACGCACTGTGACTCGTCCGCTGACCCGTCCGCATGTCTGCATTCTCACCGCGTGTGAAGAGGCCTTCCTGTCCGGTGCCCCTATTCTGGGTCTAAATATTAAGTTGGAAAGAAAGTTCTGTACCATCCAGCAAAAATTTGAAATTTATTTTTTTATTCTTTATTTATTCTGAGATCCCTACAATATTGGCCATCAGATTCAGCAACAATACGCCAACCTTCGGGCAATAGGTTGATACCACATTTGTAGAAATTAGGAGAATTTTGTCGAAACAAGCATTTGAAGTCGGATTTGCGGTCCTTCTCGTTGTCAGCTTTTTGTTCTCCAGGTGATGAGCGAGCGAGCAGGAAAGATGGAAAGGCGTGTATGGACAGGTTTAGCGAATATGGCGGATGGGCAACCTTGGTCCAGCCTAGCTTCGAGAATCTTTTGGCGTGAGACAGAAGACACGCGCGGACGCGCGTCGTCGTGAAGCAAATTGAGTTGTCGCAACTCTACGTAAATTTTTTCGCAACCATTTCAAGCAGCGAGCAGGGGTAGCGCTTGCCCTCGTCTATCTGCAGACGGAGCATCACTCATGGATAATGCCGTCACTATTCCGAAAATTCGGCATCATCACCACAAATGCCATATCGAAGCAGTGAAACTCTATTTTGCGTACTGGAAACTGGTGATTCCGCGTATGGTTACACAGCAGATCCACTTGTCTTCGACAGTGGCCGCATGTCGCAGCGTATCGCCTCCTCAGTGCGATGAGGGTAAATGTGCAGATGTTCTGCCTGTGAAATCGTGCGGTACCCATTGAGTGTTGGTACACCAAGGTTTGTCTAACTCCTGAAGAGGCTAAAGAAAGTGTATAGGAAAGCGCTCGAACCGCTGTGCCAAATAGTACGGCAACTTCCTCGAATCATCCTCGATTACTGCGGATGACTTCAAGATGGACAGTAGTTGTGCGTTGGTTGTTGACACAATGGGATGCGCTACAATAGCTCACCTGAATGCACGCCACACGTGCTCCATAGGATTTGACTGGGGGAAGCGGGCAGGCTTCACCAATCGCCGAAAATCCTCACTTTCCAAGAGTTTTCCACCTAGGCTGCTCGATGCTCTCGCACCTTGTCCTCCATACGATTGAAGTTGAGGTCAAAGGCACCCTTGAAAAGATGCACATAAGTGAGGAGTACAGCGTCACAAACGTCGATCAGAAAGCATTCCGCGATCAGGAGTTGGGAGGATCAGTACGCCCTTGCAACTTTATGCCTCCCCACACCATATCGAATGGACTATCAAAACAATCATGTTGAACGATGGTCCTGGGTGCATTATGTTCCTATTCTCGCCACATGCGGGTAAGTCCAAAATCACTACTTACATTCAATTTGATCTTAACTGAGAAGAACACGCGATCATTCAAATCAGTGGTCCATCGCCAATGTCCCGACACCTAGCAAATGTTCCCGGCTAATGCGGGGCGTTCGAGGAACATGTCTATACTGTCACTAACGAAGCCTGGAGAGTGCGTGCCTGACCATCCTGATACATTATACGAAGATTACTCATAATTCGTATAACTTCTTCACGAAAGCTCTGAACGAATAATGGATTCGTGTCCCTCGAGCGAGGAGGATCCACTGGACCACTCTTGCACGCGACAGGGACGAATGGAGACGTTGCTGGCGCCCGCTCGAGCAATTCGATGATCAACGGGACGACAGGTGATACAGGTGAACTCTTACACTAACAGTCGTAATAAATAGTTAACGTCACTGGTTAAAGGAAGCGATTACGATAAAGAGGAAGCGCATCGGGGAAGTACTTACGCTACAAGAAGCACTTGCTTGGCTTCCAAGAAATGTGGCGCTTTTACGAAGATTGGTGCCCTGCTTGCTAAGCGGGACTTTGAAAGCACTCCGTCCACATCCGCCCACTAGTTCAGTAGGTCATTTGGACGAGCTGCGTTGCCAGCAGCATCACAACTGGAGCAAACTAGAGCACTAACTATCAAATGTATTGCGGTAAACTCGTTCATACGTCCGCCTTCTTAGCCGCTGCCGGTCCACGAGCGCCAATCAGCGGCCATACAAAGGTGTTCCGTTTTGCCTTTCTCGACGGATTTCTCTGCTTTTTTTCAGTGGCAAATCATTGAGCACCCCCACCTCCCCTCTAGGCCCCTCTATAATCAAGCGCAATCGCTGCCTTTGAGCACTCCATTATCATTAGTAGGGCTAACTAGCTCTTCTAATAAAAAAACTATTTTGGTGAATTACTCGGTTGAAAGTAGTACTCTCACCCGTTTTGAACGAATTGCGGGTCACCCTTCAAGTTCTGTTAATTGTTATTTGTCTAAACGTTTAATTACCCAAGTTTGAGGTACCACTGAACCACCAACACAGTATACCGGCCGATGCACCATATATTGTGTTGGTGGTTCAGTGGTACCTCAAACTTGGGTAATTAAACGTTTATACAAATATTAATTAAAAGAACAATTACCACCAACGTGTAAGATCTTGTGAGAGAGCTTGAGAGTGAGATAATGCCGCAACCCCACCACCCCCATCACTTCGCAGAGGTGATCAAACGGCCCGGCAATTGTGCAACTCGACTAAAGACCCGATTTCGGTTCACTGTAAGTTAGCTTTGCGGACAGAAAAGAACATTGCCCCCGCCATGGGATCAGCGATCGGCTTGAATGTGAAGAGCGGTAAGAAATTTGTGACGCGAGAAGTTTGCGAGTGATGATAATGCAAAGAAGAATATAGAGTGATAGGCGCAATACCTTGCGGGTGAGTCTCCTTTTTCCAGCGGCCAAATTCGACGCGAATGCTCCTGATCGTGGGGTGCCTCCAGTGTGACTACACAATCACGTATATTAAATGGCCTGGTCAACACTATCCCGGCACAGAAATTCGATATTGATAGAGGAACACATAAGTAAGAGCCAAGCAGGTGTTTCGACCTCGAAATCTTTCCTTATCTGAATTCATCTGTTATAGCATTACCATACACTTGTCCCAGGGCGGAGAAGAAGCTGACAATACTGTCCGAACACATTCACAGCAGTGTCATGTCAAAATGAAACTACGAGTCATATAGTGGAAAGTTGAGCTGTGATGAGCGCTCTCTGCCCATAGAGCAGACATACGACGACCTGTTTCAGCCTTCGCTTCTCAAAATCTGGGAATGGTTTTGAGTCGGTAAGCAAAGCCTTCTACTTATTAAACTGTTATTCTTACAAACAATATTATGAAGCAAAGATAAAAAGACGTATCCGGTAATGGATGAATGATCACTTCTATTTGGACAAGCATTTCAAAATCAATATTTGTAAATATGAACGAAAGAGTTCAAAAAACTGTTGTCCGTTGGGGTGACACTGTACAGAATTGAAGACACCTTCAATAATGCCGAGTCATCACTGAACAGAGCTAGAATCCTAACGATCAATTCTGATATGGCACATGAATGCACAAAATGTATTTGAATAATTAATCAAGAAGCTCACATTTTATTTCATTAAACTCGCCCGAAATATAAGAAGATCCCGTCCATAACTGACATTTTGGATAAGGAGTATGAAAAGCACGGTTTATGAGCGAATCATTCCAAGGTCGGTCAATGTCGCGCTATTGTGTCGCCGTTATTTATCGATAACGGCGGCCACAATACAGGTCGAGATATCTCGTACGAGCCATCTCCACTGTGTTCAGAGACAACTCGTCCAGCTGTCGGTGACGTTTTCAGAGAGCCGAATTGTCGAGTGGCTCGAGAGCATCTTCGTTTTTTGTCGGCGTTTCAAATCTGGCCGAGTAGCCTTCACGAGCCTGAAAGACTGATGGCTTCAGTTTTTCACGATGTGATTGACTTTATAAAGTTTATCAACAAAGCTCAATTGTGGCCGAGGCCAACCGTGCGATGCGCAGTTCGCAACAAGGAAGTAGCGTTTAAGTTTTTTTGGAGGTGAGGGTCCTATTTGGGGTTGGTGAAGGTCAAGATGTTGGAAAGGGGAGTCTTTCTCGAAGCTGGAGGAGTAGCGGTGGTAGACGGAATTCTAAACAATTTCTTTTTTGGAATTTTGAGAAAACTTGAAAAAGTAAGCATGAAGTAGTAACGTCTACATATAGGATTTGTCACTGCAAAAGACCTTGCAGACTGAAAGGAAGAAAAAAGTGGGCGGAGCTAGGCTGTGTCGATTGGTCTTTGAATCAAATACTAAATAAGCAGCCTGATGATAAGGGTGCTTAGGATGAAGAGTTTGTATGGAGAGGGGGGGGCTTATCGAATACCCTCTAGGGGGGGGAATCGTCGAATTTTTGGGAATGGAAGGACGGACAGTTGACTTTGACTGTGAAACGACCACGACGACAGGACTAGCCCACTGGCACTAATACTTTACAAACAGACAGGATGCGTGGCGCATCCCCGAAATAGGCTTATGGTTAGCAAGGGCGAAGACTCAACTATCTTCATGGGATTGATGGAAATGGGCGCCAAAATAATGGAAGCATAAAACTGAACTACAAAGGGGCGCGGCTTTACTAGCATGTACCTGCACAGGCGTGCATTACGCGCGGTACGCTACGGCTCACGGCAAGACCTGGTTTTCCAAAAAAAAATTGAAAATGAAACTCACAGCGACCTTAGCCGGCTTACTGTTCGTGATGTAGGAACTGCCCGAGTCACCAGAAGTCACGTAGCACGGTCGAAATGACAAGAACATGTGATGCAAGGCGTTTCGGAACGATTCGTTCACAAGTGCGTACGTAATCGGATTCACGCACGCCGAAGAAATACCGACCAGATGGCAGAACAGATACCTGTAACGAGAGGCCTATTAGTGCTGTAGTCGACAGCCTATCTCCGTTCGAGAGCGAACCACTGCTGAGAATTCCTCATTACGGGGTCGTTTCCGGGATTGCAGCAGAGTCACGTCATTTCTGGGATTCCAGCAGAGTCACAAATGGAAACGATAGGGTGGAGAACACGCTAGCCACACATCCCTGGGTACCCGACAGGAAGCCCGTCGCGCGGCGAGAAGGTGGAGACGCAGACGGGTCAGCGGACGAGTCGCAGCGCGTATTGTGCGATGTGGGACGTACTAGGTACATTCTATTTGACTTGACGCAATCGCTACAGTACGCGCTGCGACTCGTCCGCTGAATTATCTGCGTCTCTGCCTTCTCGCCGCGCGACGGGCTTCCTGTCGGGTACATCACATTCATACCCTCCACATTCCCGCTCGACGCCAATTCTGAAAGAATCGAGTAGTTCGAAGTGGGATGGAAGTATCTGGCTTAGCAGCAGGGCAGAGGGGACATTCAAATAAGTGAGCCACTCACAGCAATTGGGACAAAGCCTTACAGAGTAGAAGGGATTCTTTGAGAGGATTCAATTGAGAGGATTGATTTGAGAGGATTGTGTCCTTTCTGACGCTTCTCAGGTCCTAGCTGGGGCTCGATCCTAGTCCACTGAACAACGGCCGTATGATTTGACTTTCTCTCTGAAGATATAGAGCGCCCGTTATGAGATAGAAATTTCACGCATAGGCTCGTTGTAAGCGGCGAGCAGTTACGCGGGCGGACCCGGAGCCACCGACAACCCGGATCACACATTCAAGCACACCGCACACGTCCATGCTGCATTTCCTCTCGAACCGCAACCCAACACATGGCTAAATGCAGACTCTTTGCTACTTGTACAGCGGTAAGCGCGCCGCTGCTAACTGTGCGCAAGAGAAAAAATCTTAAAGTGTGGGCAATGGGGTTCTCATGTGATAGATGAAATGAGTTGTGCATAGATGGACATCAGCTGGATTCAAAAGTAGCGGCACTAAGCGAATCTTATCCAGAATGCGATTCGAGAATGGGATCGTCTCATGGAGACCTGAATGATAATCTCGCATTTATCTGTGAGCGTAACCCTTACTGACATGGATGAAAGGCCAAAAGTTTCTAGTTCTGCTAGATTATCCTGTAAAGCTATGAATGATGGGAATGCTTGAGATGGTACTGTAAGGACGGAATATCATCACCAAAATACAGCTGCTTTGAATACGCCACGAGTTCACATAAAAAGCATCGGAGAATTAAGCTTCCGGAAGCTTCCTCCTTTTCACGTGTATGAGTCCAAAGCATCCGAGATGACATCTTATACTTTTTTAACAACAGTATAGTACTTACCGATATTGCGAGTACGAGATCACTTCGAAACCGCTTAGCACATTGTGAATGTTCATTGGTGCCCAACAGATCGCATACGTTAGGACGAGGATCATCAGAAGGAGCAGTGCACGTCTGAAAATTGTATTACTAAAAAAATAAAAGCGTCTCTTCAGCGAACTTGACTATGCCAGTATGATTTTGCAGAAAAACTAGCATCTAACTTAATTATAGGGTATTGCTGACAAAAATTCACGCTGCAGTGATTGCATTGGATGAGATTTGCAGCGGTTAAAACCACTCGATCAGCAAATCTTTGCCTTTCTTGCCTTCTCTAGCCTAAGTACTGCCCTATAATAGATTAGCGGATAATAAAGAGAGTTGCAGCAGTCTCGCTTCCCGCCAAGGTCTTATTGTTAGACTAGAGCGCAGAGGTTTTCGTCGGATTTCAGATTGCACGATGGCAAAGTCCGACACCAGCCCGAGGGATGAAATCCGACTCTGTATCGCATGTAGCGAGTCTGGGTCGTTATCCAAGGCAAATGATAAAATCTAAAGTGCATAAATGGGTAGAAATTCTAATGGGATAAGGGCGGAAGTGGTGTAGTGACAAGTGGCGCGCTTACCACGCGAGCGGTCCGGGATCAAATCCTGGGTCGTGAGTCGCCCGGGCCAACCAAGCCTTCCATCCCTCCGGGGTCGGTTAATTGGTACCAGACTTGTCTGGGAGGATAAAAAACACTGACTTGTACATCGGCTGGCCCCCGCAAGTCATTGTATAGGCCACATCGCATTCAAACGCCACTGCGAATGTACAAATGGAAGTAGAATGCGTGCCGCATCCCAAAAGGAATTATTCAACGACAAATGCTTCATCCTTTATTATCTAGTCAAATGAGCGCTAAAGATAGGAGAGGAGAACATTGATGAACGACTCAAACTACTGTAATGCCTCAAATTTTGTTGGGCGCGGTTTTTAGCATGAGTTTTTGCCTTTTATCTGGCTATATCTGCCTCAGTGGAGCATGTATTCCACAGTTTTAATTTCCTAATTCCATCCACATAATATTTTTGAGCACTACATGGAGATGTTGCGGTTTAAAGACGCCATATCGTGCCCTCACAGTCAGCACCAACGGTGTCAAGAAGGCTTCGTTGCTCTTATTTTAAAGGAAATTTTACTCATCAGGGTGCGAGTTAAAAGGAAAATGAACGATCAGGCTCACAGAAGCACTGCAAGTTCCTCTATACATTTCTTAGTGAGGGTTGTATTCGTAGCGCATCCCATACAAGTTGCTCGACGATGCGCTGCCTTGTATTATTTGGTTCCCTACCTCGATACATGACTAGAATAACTCTGAAAACCATTAAAAATAAAGAAGGCTGCCCCCTCCCACTTCCCTCTATTGCAGCTGTGAAAAAGGTGTTCCCTGCCTGCGTCTGAGTAGGCGTTCGCCAACTTTGGGTGTTGGGTGAGTGGCAGCTGTCCAATTTGTTAGTAACAAAACTCACGTCACGTCTTCAACCGCTGACGCGAATCGGGCAATTACCATGAATGAGTTTTCAAGGCTTTTTTCTTCTAGAACTTTCGACTCGAAAATGGCCATAGAAACAAAGCCTTTTTGTGGTGGGCTACGGTCGACAAGCGGTGAGTTGTGCCTGTTGTCGCACTATTTCTAGCAATCGATGTTCGTGAACATTTTAGGGAGAATATTTCCGCTAGAAGTCTTATAAAAATTTATACCACGCACACCAAAGGTTCCAAGTGCATCGGAGATGGGGAAGAAAGTCGTCTCTCAGGAATACCTCACCCCTCAGTTACGAACTGAGGCTTCATGTATATCTCGGTGAGGGATTCGGGGAATTTCGCACCACAAATGCTTCCCGTGAGGAAACATCCAGGGAAAAAGACCTTTTTCCAGCGTACGAGCTCTTTCATTGAACTTCAACTTATCGTTAGGCGGGTTATGACCAAGATCCACAGCCAAGTTGGATCCAGCCGAATTTTGTCCAGTTGAAAAATTTCTTGAACGGCTGTCGCAGACTTCTGCGATTCGGACCCGACCCTTGAAGATTTATGACGTCTCTGTGATCTGATGACATGCATGTTAGAGAAATTGCGGTGCAGATCAATGTCTGAGTGACAAGTGGTCTGACAAGCTGTCATGAGGCGATGAATTACCCTTGTCAACATTCAACAATGATCGCGTTGTGTTTGAGATAACACCAGTCGATCATAAGAGTAAAGATCTTTTCAGATGCACGTGAAAAATATTAAAAGCATTGGAGGTGAAAAATGAGTTGGGGGGGGGCGCAGTCCATTGTACTATACAAAATTGAAGATAAAAATAAGAGCGCTCATGGTGCGTAATCGAGTCGTTTCAAATATACTTCTGAGAGGTACCGATCCAGTGCGTAAGCCTAAGGGTGTTCTCCATGTAATCTGCAGTGTTCCAAAGAAGCGGTACCGAACCAGGAGGATGCCCTCAGGTTCCAGGGTGCATAATAAGGGTAAGGGTAGAGCGTGTGGGCAGGATATGTGGAATGTAGGACATTTACCAGTATTTATCAAATGTACAATTTCAGTGAATCAGGTGCGTATTATCTTGTTCCAGAGCGCCCACCGGAGTGCTCTATAGTACTATGGGTAGGATAACTAGGAGGCCTCCTGAACTTCATTTTCACCCCTTTCATGTTAATCGATCCTTTTTTGAGATACTTTTATTCGAGCTTCACGGGAACAGGAAGTGCCAAATTTTATCAATTTGTCCCCATCTTTGTTCATGATAAATCTCAGGGCACGGAGATTTTGTGGTACAGACGTTGATGTATAAATATTCAGGAAATTACTGACTGAAGAGGGCTAGGTTCAGTCCTTCAAATCACAAGTCGCTCATAGTGCAAAGTCGCTAAAGCAATGAAACTATTATGTTTAAAATATAATTAAATCGAGTTTAATCATTCTATTATATTTCCCGCATTTGAAATTCTTTCATCATTATCTGATACGAAGGTTGTATGCGGATCCAAGATTATAGTTTAACCTTTCCGAAATTGTCCAAAGGGTAGGGTTTCAAGGAAGTCGTTACAGTAGCGGTCAAAATTGTTCGCCGAAACGATTTTTAGTGCATTATTTTTTCTCGCTTGAGCAACGCCCTCCAAAGATTGATATACTATGTTTTCTAGTGTTTTTATATCCTCAAGTCTTAAAGAATCAGGATATTCAAAAGAAAATTTTTCGAGGCCACCATTGATTTTTTCTGGCAAAAAAAAAAGAGAAGCACGAAAACCGTTCCGGCGAACACTTCTTGACCGCTACTGTAGATCACCGTTTCGGTCAGAACAAAACTATTCAATTTGTTTTGTTAAGTGCTTTAAATAGCTGCACTTGATAGAGCGCTTCTGACGGAGCTGTGTTTCAGTATCTCGGTCTATTAGATACCATCTGATGTGCCCGTAATTATAGGTGATTTAATTTTAGAAGTTTTACTATTTCTTGAATGAGTTTTTCGTGGGCAAAGACGTGCTAGAGGCAACGCGGGTCGCCACCCAAGCATGGTATCATGGAATTCTTGCTATCTAGAGATGAACATCCATTATAGTACAGATCCATAGGTGCATATTCATCTAGTATTAAGATGTTGTTAGGTGGTCGCAATTTGGCGCATACATGCAAATATGCCCTAAAAAGCCAATACGATTATGAGGGGATGTCAAGTGCGTGGCGCGCCTCAAAGTACTTATCAGCTTCGTGCCTTAATTTTTTTTACCCTGTTATCCCTTTGTCAGCAGGATATCGGTAAATGGTTACACTGCGATCCGAAGCCATTGGTCACTGCTCTAATGTGAACGATGGCGCTAGTCAGCATCAAAGACACCCCGACAAATGATTTGGGCCCCATAAATCGTAGCTCAATTAGGTTTCTACATGAAAACATCGCAATCGAGTGCTATTATGCTGCGAAGCGAAAGGCTTGCCATTGAGTCGTGTAGCGAAAAAAATGGCCACCTGCTATGCCGGCCCGACGCGTGGAAGAGTGGAGGGGGGAAGGATGTCCAAATTTGAGTAAAATTTTGTAGCGATATGTACATTGATTTGCGTACTCGGATGCAAATTTCAAATCTGCTGCTAAACTCTGCAGAAGCAGTGACGAACTGGTGCGATATTAGATATACGCTTGTTATTAATCAGATGTACTGAACAGCGCAGCTGGAAAAGGCACAAATATTGTAATTTGTAAAAATGTGCCAGTGATTACGATCTGGCTGAGGGCGCGGCAGTTTCGATGAGTACTTGAACGCAGTGCCAATGAAAGACCCCTCCGCGTGCTGCGGAATGTGGCTAGGTCCGCCTCATAATGCCCTTCCACCAATGGCCTTCAATACGTCATCGAAACCGCACCACCCTCTAGCCATCATGGTCGCTGCATTCAACTCGAAAGGTTTAATCCCATGGGCAGCGTAGAGATACTGGCAGAACACCATCTTTAGCCCCTAACAGCCGCTTTGGCATTCGGAATGCGAAGTTAAATTAAGCGAACCGCCAGGGTCAACCGTCCGTTCGAACAGTTCGAACGGGGGGTCGCATTTGTGTGTCTGGGAAGGGAGGGGGGTCGCATTGGTCGCATTGCGCGCCTTGGTGATTAGTGGCGCAGGGCATAGGTGTGTGCGAAAAAAGTTGCCGTTTCACTGGTGTATATACCCCCCCCCCGGTCGACGGCTGTTTTTGGGGAAAAGTAAAAGTGGGTGGAGTTTCGGAGTTTTAGGTAGGTTGGGTTGGGCTGTGTCAACTGGTCTCAGAATCAAATACTATAAAAGAGGAGAGGTCGCGGTGGAGGAAGGCTGGTTGTATTGGGGGTCGCAACTGTGTGTTGGGAGGGGTCGCAACTGGTCCCTCTCGAGAGGGGGGGATCGCAAAAATCCCGAAAATGTTCGAACGTGACGGTTCACCCTAACTGGAACTGAGATAATTGATTGAAGAAAAACCATACTCTACCGAGATGAAACTTTCTACTCATGATCAGCAAATACGTAGTGTCTTGCGGGGAGGGGGATTGGTGGAGTGTTTTGATATGGATAGAAGACTACCATTGAACAAGGCCCTGGAGTGCTTTATTTATCAGCTGGTTTGAGACCTGCACCGGAGCACTCCACCCACACTCCGAATTTCGTACCAACTACACAGTTGCGATCAATCCTTAATTTTTAATCAAAAATGATAGATATCCATACCTGTTCCTACTTTGCATGCTCATGCGTCGAGCATGGTTGATCGTTCGGCTTACTTTTCGATCGACGTCGAATTGTCGACCGACATTGCATGTAGCATAGGCCAGAAGCGAAACATGGCATAAAGTACTGAAAATTTTGAAATTCATATTCTGCGTTTATGGTGTTTGCCCCCCCCCTACTTGTCCTTGTTTTGTATGGCATTTAGCCGCGGGTTATGTAGCCCGCTATTTATTGTAACCAGATTAGTCCCCCGTCAACCGCCGGGACCTTCCTTTCCTGCGCAAGCTTTCTATCCTCCGCTATGGTCCCTTCCTCCTGTGACACCAACACCTCCTGGAAGTGACGCGTATGCAACACAATGGTGTTTCATACAGTAGAAGGGACACAATCATGATATGACGGTAGATTTTTCGCTTCCCTTCCTCATCCTCCCTTCCTCTCTCCCTCCAGCTGCCACTGCAGCACCATGTGGAATGAACGGAAGTGTGCTAAGCAGGTGTTTATATAGCCCTAAGAGTGTTATCACAACTATCCTGCTACAAAACATTGATATCTCAAATCCTGTAAGCTACCCGATTTGTTAGCGGTTTGTTTATCCCATGAGCTTCCTTCTCACTCACTTCATTTTGCGGACGGACACACATACATACACACACATACAGATACACAAACCGACACACAAAGTTAGCGCTTTATAAAATAGAAGATATTAAGAGACTGGAATTTGCGCGACACGCAAACACCAGCTTATCTCATTTTGAATTCGCGGTATTTTCGGTGGTTACAAGGCTTCCGTCAACGAAAGGGTGAGAGCGTAGCTGGAAAAGCACACACTTTGTGTCTTACTGGGACTGAGCCTTGAAGAAGATAAAGAAAGAGGAGATGCTGTGATAGTGTGACTTGTGAGAGCTCCAGACATCACTAAAAAACGCAAAAGTGCCAAGGCTCGCGGTTGGCAGATGTCCTGAGACCATTTTCGGTGCAATACGAATGGAGTTGGCACATCGAATTTTCTGGGTACGGTAGGCGCGAAATGTGTGTGAATGGGAACTGTTGCTCGTTACTACGACGTGACGAGAACTTAGGGAATTTGTTGGGGGGAGTGTAGCCAGTCAAGGGGGTGAGGGCAGTCACTTGACATGCGTGAAAAGCTGGAATGTGTGAGTTACTTCATAGCGTCTCGTCACGTCATAGTAGCGGGCAGCAGTCCCCAACATATATTCTGCAGCTACCGTATTCAAAAAATGTGACGCTCCCATCCCATTGTATTGCACCGTATTTGCCTTGCTTCTGCTGCATTTCCTATGCTCTTGCTGTCGCGCGATTTGTGTTTGCGTCTTCAAATAAACAAACAAATAAACACCCAACTACCTGAATGGCGAGCACCGTTATAGTGAATGTCGTTTTTGAAATATAGGCACGTTCCCATGTATCTTGTATTTCCATACAGATTTCTGGATATGACCGTCCACATATGCTGAGCTGAAATAAGATGGTCATTTCATTGGGAGATTTGGTTGTATTTTTTGATTCAAGATTTCAGTGACAGTCGATAACAGCATTGTTTACCATTGCCGGTGTGTGCACATCATTCCACGGTTCGACTTTGTCGAACTTTTGCGATTTTACGGTAAGTGAATACGGTAAGGCGATAACGATCGATACAACCCATACGACACAGTAGCAGATGATGGATGCCGTCGCTGCCAGCCGCCTGGAAATTAGAAGTTTCCATCACCGCAAAAGATACTGTAGAAGAGGTTTCTTAACCACAACTCACCATTTGACCGGATATTTTGTAAGTAGTACACGATCCATCGCGATCAAGGCAAGTGTGAGTGATGACACAAACGTGTTCACCGCTTGGACAGATGCCAACTGGAACAAACATTTTTGACGGATGGAGCTGCAAACCTCGCCCGAAGGACGAGTTACCCTGGCATTGTATGGGTGACTTACCACTTTACATGCGATATCACCGAATGGCCAAAAAGCATTTGCACTTGTGTACAGTGTTACTGGAGCTGTGACGACACATAGTAATAAATCAGAGCAGGCCAGATTCACGATGAAACTGAAAAAAATCACTTTGAACCAATGGTATTTATTTGCTTTTGGCGCAACTCCAATTCCTGGAAGCGAGTCATAAAAAAGAGAAATAAACAACAAAAATAATAGTCCATAAATAAATAGTCTCATTTCCTTGAGGCATTGTGCATAACTACTGTCATAAGGTAGAAATTATTAAAACAGCTGGGAAGGAGATTTCCATGTCGGTCTTTAGTTTCCATTCTCTAAAAGCCAGTTCCTTCAGTATCGTTCGTATAAATGTAACATAAAATATTATTCAATACTAAACAAGTGGTGAAACTCCAGTTCGGGGGGGCCACTCCATTGCTATCTTATCCGTAGTACTAGAGAGCAGTTCTTTGGGCTATCGAACACTACGGATAAGATAATAAGTGAACGACTCATTTCGAGCGTACTTTTGATAAGGACCGGTGGATGTCCTACATTCCACACTACCTGCCCACATCCCATCCACTTTTCTGCACAGGTGATCCACCCTGGAGCTCCTGCACCCTTAGCCCTTTGCGGAGGTGTCCTTTCTCCTGGTCCAGGACCGTTCCCTTGGGTCATGGCAGGCGGAAATGTGAAAACGTTTCAGGGGTCGTCAGCCCTCTAATCTTATTTTGAGTACTGGAGAAAAAATGGAGTGGCCCCCCCCCTCCGAACTTCGAGTCACCACACAGATCATAGGTGAACCGAGATATAACGTGCTTAATTGAATAGATCAAATAGACATAGCTTCAATGGATGTCATTGTGTTAATACAGTCCAGTTGTCCGACCTTATCAGAGCGAATACGCGCGCGGATGCGAAGCAGCGTGACCTCTGATTGATGACACAAACTGTGCGCTAAACGTGGGATCCATTTTTCATCTGTTGCAGTGATCGTTTCTCGAATTCTAAGCTTATCCGGCGTAGGCTGAATGCCGCGGTGTCTTCATGACCAAAACTTTCCAAGCTTCAGGGACAGCAGACAAATGCTCAGTGAAGAAAAAAAAATCAAGGAATGTATATTACTTTGACCGCGTCAATTTTATGTATCGATAAACTTGACTTATTTTGCTGTTTTGTCAACGTTTATTACTTGATATTGTATTGGGCTGCTAATTTACTTTTTTCTAGTCAATTAGTTCTTTTTTTTCTCCGTACCTAATAAACAACCTAGCAAATAATTTACAAGCAACGATTTTGCAAAATATTCATACCTATTTCTCAAATTTCGAAGATTTGATGTACGTATAAAGGCAAAGAGTACTACAAGATTTGCCAATGCGCCAAACGTGCAGACGATCCCGTAGAGGAAGACTAATCGACGATCCTTTCAGATGCAGCACCCAGAAGTAGTTGTTCTGAAAAAAAATGCACAATCGGACAAACAAACAATTCTTGGTTAGCTATCAGGACATTTGCTTTATGGTGATGAATTTGAATCTGATTCATCAAATCAAGTTTTTAAAAACACCAATATAGCAGGGATTTAAGCTATAAAAGATGTCCAATCGAAAAATGGGTAACCAGAGTAAGGAATAAAAAAATAAAATGAAGCCCATAAGTGATTATTTCTGAATGCGTCACGGATTTCTATGAGCTCTATTTTTGTAGATATGGTAGAGAGTAAGTTTCATTTGACCTTTCATAATGGCTGATAAAGTTCGCGTCCAGATCCACAACTCAACTCTTTCATTCTCTAAACTGGGCTAGCACCGAACAAAAACGCGGAAGGCTAAAAATATAGTTAGCACCCAATAGGTATTCAACACGGGCTTCGATCCCCGGATGACGCATGTGACAAAATGCGACTGCACGGTTTCACCCTACAAGGAATAGGTTTCTCATTGAAGACTTCAAAATAGAAAATAAATAGAAACGAAATGAACAAAGAGCAATGAGCTACGATTTTCAAATGACAATCAATGAATGATGTCAGACTCGTCCTGGAAGGCAAAAATACAGACATCTGCTTTCGAAAATCAGATGTGCGTCGAGTGCAGACCACACACCACAAGTGACGACGGCCTCCAAGTAAATCTGGTACTAGTGATTCATAGTGATAGCTGATAGTTTGGTAAATGATAGTTGTAATTAGCTGATAGAATACAACTGCAACGGGCCATCGTTGGCAGAAAAGGTCTGCATTTTGTGGAGGCCGTCGTCACTTGTGAGGTGTACCGGAGGTGAGGATTATCGGGTATCAAAATGATCAGCATCACCTGAAGAAGCACGTTAGTCACTTTTTTCATACTATTCCAGAACAAAAAAGAAGCGAAAAGGCTTGCTGAATACTAGTGGAAGCTGTTTGTCTCTGGCTGTAATTATAGCGAGCGACGCTCGCTAATGAGTAGCCTCAGGTACTTTGGAATAGAAAAATGAAATTTTCTAAAATCTGAGAGGACATTCTAATAGCACTCGACGAGCTGAGTCTAATGGTATAGTTTTTCATGTCGAAAAGCGATCAGAAATCAAATTATAGCAAAAAGACGAAAAAGACGCGGATCCGCGTCTTCCGCGTCTTTTTTAACAAAGTTATGGGAGGTACTGTAGTCTGCACTCGACGAGCATCTGGTTTTCGGAAACAGGGTATACATCGGTTAGCCTCGTAGGTATGGCACGCCACATCACATTCATATGCCAATATTTCTCTGTGTTGAAATGCAACACGCTGCTCCCCTCATAGTAAAGAGACTGACCAGACACAAATATTTTTCTTCCAGGAACATTACAATCTAAGATTAGAGGACTAGGAAAGGATTTTCCACGGCGTTATCACATATCAGGGTAATGCCACGCATTTGACTTTAATCGGAATCGTGATTTAAATGGAATGTGGCCAATGCCGGTACACAAGCCACTTTCTTAACAGAATTGAGAAGAATTGAAATTGCTATTTCGCGTCGTGTTTACTTTTATTATTCTTTACTTTTCTGATGTTTCCTAGGGAGGGCGAAGTGGTGTGGTGGCAAATGGCGCTGCATACCACGCGAGCGGTCCGGGATCAAATCCTGGGTCGTGAGTCGCCCGGGCCAACCAAGCCTTCCATCCCTCCGGGGTCGGTTAATTGGTACCAGACTTGTCTGGGAGGATAAAAACACTGACTTGAACATCGGCTGGCCCCGCAAGTCATTGTATAGGCCACATC